GTTTTTGAGGAGGGATTTTTTGAGAAGGGAGGATTTTGGGGTTTGGGGTTTCTGCGGGGGGGGGGTGATTCGGGTTTTTTGAGTTCCCCACCTGCTGCCCCCACTGCTTCTCCAGGTCCTCCAGGTTTTTCTGGGCCAGGGCATCGTACTGGGCCCGCAGCTCCCCCAGGACCTTGCCCAGGTCCTGCGCCCGCGGCGCGTCCACCTCGACCGTCAGCGCCGAGCCCTCGACCTGCGCCCGCAGCCCCTGCACCTCCTGGGGGGACAGGGAATGGTTCATTCGGGGTCCCCAAATTAATTTGGGCCCCCCCCAGAGCCCCCCCGGGCCCACCTGGTCGTGGTCCTTGCGCATGAGGATCAGCTCCTCCCGCAGGGCCTCGATCTCCCCCTCCAGCTGCAGCCGCGTCAGGTTCGTGTCGTCCAGGACCTTGCGCAGCCCCGTGATGTCACCATCCACGGACACACGGATGGCCAGCTCGGCCTCCAGCCTGGGATTGGGATTGGGATTGGGATTGGACACAGCTCAGCGCCCGTTCACAGCTTTGTCCTCATCCTCAGCCCCGGTTTCAGCCCCATCCCCATCCCCATTCCCATCCCACCCCTGTCCCATCCCCACAGCCCCTCAATGTCCCTGTCCACAGACACCTGGATGGGCAGCTCGGCCTCCAGCCTGGAGAGGCAGAGAGATTGGGAGTGGGATTGGGATTGGGAGTGGACACAGTTCAGCGCCCGTTCACAGCCTTGTCCTCATCCTCGGCCCCGGTTCCATCCCCACTCCATCCTCTTCCTCATCCCCATCCCCACCCCTGTCCCCCCCTGTCCCATCTCCGCAGCCCCACGATGTCCCTGTCCACGGACACCCGGATGGGCAGCCCGGCCTCCAGCCTGGAGAGGGAGTGGGATTGGGATTGGGATTGGGAGTGGGATTGGACATGGCTTGAGCCCAGCTCAGCGCCCGTTCACAGCCTCATCCTCAGCCCCGGTTCCATCCCCACTCCATCCTCTTCCTCATTTCCATCCTCATTTCCATTCCCATCCCTTCATCCATCCCCATCCTCATCCTCATTTCCATCCCTGATCCATCCTCTTTCTTATTTCCATCCCTCATCCATCCCCAGCCTCATTTCCATCCTTATTTCCATTCTCATTTCCATTCCCATCCCTTTTTCCATCCCCATCTTCATTTCCATCCCCTGTCCATCTTCACCCTTGTCCTCAGACCCATTTCCATCCCCGATCCATCCTCAGCCTCATTTCCATCCCCATCCCCATTCTCCTCCCCATCCCCATTCCCATCCTCATCCTATTTCTGTTTCCCATCCCTTTATCCATCCCCAGCCTCAGCCTCATTTCCATTCCCAGCACATTCCCATCCCCATCCTCGTTCTCATCCCCGTCTCCATCTCCAATCCCAAACATCCCTGTCCCCTCCCTGTTTCCATCTCCAATCC